CAGCTTTTTGAGCCATTTAGGATAGCTTAAAGTCTTTTCAATGATAGTAACAAAGAAATGTTTTCGAGACAGTTTCTGATTGTGTTTAAGGAACTAAGAACCACTTTCCTACCATTCCTCAACATCATCTCAGCTGAGTGAGGAGGATGTTTWGAATGCAGTCAGTTTTCCACATTAGGATTTGTATTTGGTTCATCATAATTTCCACACTCAGTCAATATTCCTTAATGGAAACAAAACCACTTTTTCCATCTGTTCACATTTTAGGGACAGCTAATGGCTAAGATTCAGATATAAATGTTGTTTACACAGGGACAGATAACTGCTTGCACATCTTGAGTGGTGATGCATGCATAATGTATGGGTCATTATTTTTTTATTTTTTTTATTTTTTCCCAGCAGTAAGTGATTAAATATTCTGAAATTTTACAGGGTAGTTATTTATCAGTCTGATTCAACTCATGAGTGGTAAAACTGCAGACCTTTCTTGCCACAATGTACAAAATGTGTAAATTGCTAAAATGTCTTTCAAGGGAAAGAAACAGAAAAACCTAGATACTGGGGAAAGTTGTGCCTGGAAGACTTAAATTTCCAATACATAGATTTTTAAGGCTAAAATGAGTCTTCTGCTCCCTCTCTATGGTGATCTAAAGGAATAGTGTAGTTGTCTTCACACAAAGAATAACCATAAACTGATAAAGTTAATGAAAAAATTMATTTTATAAAATGAAATAAACATCATGGAAGTGTGGCTGCAGAAGCAAGTTTATAAATAAAGCATTTATAAATGATTAATAGGTTTTTCAAAAACTTTTTCAGGAGAATTCATCCTAATGCTAGCAAGTCATTAATTTTCATCGGGTTATGATTCAATAGCTATGTATAAAACCTTCTACAAGTAAGATTATAATTGTTTTATTTACATGAAAACTACAATAGATGCTTATCAAAGTTGCTAGGTATTCTTCTGTAATCAATCATCCAGTACATACAAATACTTTTAATCAGGACAATTAAACAGTATGAAGTGGATTCTATGCAAATCCTGTCTGCAATTCTCTTCATTTGCTGTTTTCTTGAAAGAATCMCTGTAAAGGTGACTTTTGTCCCAGACTTTACTAGTTTGAGCTGTTTTCAGGTAAGGAGAAAATTCTAGTCTTGGAGCTGTAACCAGGAATATCTTTTCCCCTATTCTCTCCCCTTTGTCTTTTATAATGAGGAAAATTTCATTTCAAAGTCTGTGCTGATTGCACCTATTGAAGGAGAGCACAGAAAATGAAGCAATCATTCTGATACACCAATTTCAGTCTATTAAGGGATTTAAAGTCATAATCAACAGTCTCACAGTTCGCCAAGAGATCAGGGAGCAAAAGGCAGCGAGATTTCTCTGCACTTGCTCGGTTCTCCTCTGAATATGAAAATTACAAAAGCTTTACAGAGGGGTTCCCTGTGCACTGGAGTCCCAAGGAGAAGTGAGTGTGGAGGGAAGAGTCACCTCAGGGCCCTGACACTCATGATTCTGTCAGAAGTGAAAAGAAAATCTCTGAACTTGAAGTAGCAGAAATGCAGATAATACTGACAAGATTAATTCTCCAAGGAGAGTTTGCATCCTTTCACSCATACTCCTAAATCCTGGAGTGTGGGAAGCTGCCCAGCCACCACCAGCAGTGGATGTGGATCACCATGGGTGGAGAGCATCTGCCAGGCTTTCTTCTGTAGGCACAAACAAACCAGGGGCAAGGTGTAAAGATACCTGTCCTGGGAAAAATTTTCTTAACACGATTCTCTGTGCGGTTTTATTTTTAAAGAAAGGTCATTGACTGATCTGTTTCTGTGTAATCAACAAAGACTTCATTAGTAAAACACTGCTTTATCTTTTCCTGTTTCCAACAGTATTGACTTTTCTGAGGAAGAAACGGGTTAGAGTCTCTGACATTCAGCTCTTCCCATTCCTTCAGTCCCTCAGAAAGCACCATCGATATAACTCTATTAGAGAATCCATCAAGGTCTTGTTTGGTCTTAATAGCATTATAGACATTAGTAATTCTGGTTCACAGGCGGCAAATAATGCATTTGTAAAGAATTAGCTTTGACACAAATCCAAACCACTCTGGAAGTGTGCTTGAAACCTGAAAAAGGTGC